CAATTCATTTAGCAACTTGTGAGGAAAAAGATGTTTGCAGCACATCCTTCTTTTTATCTTGTGGTAGTTGCCAGTGTTGTATTATTGTTACTGGTGTTTGTATTTGTATTATCGGTCCTGTTCCACGATATCACAAAATTACCTGATTGACATTTTAATCAATTTCATCTTGAAAAAGACACAAACGCATTGTACCCTTCTGTTGTTTGTCAGAAATGTATGGAGCGTCTGGGGCGCCGGGGAAGGCCAGAAGAGAAAGGAGTGAAACTGGACTATCTGGATAAGCTGCATGTTCAACATGAGAGGTGGCTTGTGGAGAAGAGCACTGAGTGAGTGCTAATGAGGGCATGTCCCTCTGTTGTCCTCTGCAGACTTGCATGTTTTGAATATTTTCAGTGACCACTGAAATGTAAAGAAATCACGAGGTCTTTTAAAGTGTAAAGTCACTCTCTTCTCAGCAATTATGAAGATGAAAGGATTTAACGGGAGGACATTACACTTAAAATTGGTATTGTGATCAGTAAATGATCCAACCAGCACCAGTGGTGATACAGCCACTGTATTACAGGACGCTCTACGGATGCCTGTTTGTCCATTACCATTTTAAATGCCTTTCCTCGCAGCTGTTTGTTGCTCGGCTGTGAACAGATGACGGTCGGCAGTGTGTGGTCTGACGTGGTCGGTGTAACACAGCTCAACTCTCTCTTTTCAGATTACATTTTGAGAAGTTGAAACAGATACCTGTGTTGCAACTGGATGCCAGTGTGGAGTTTCAGAGTGACCCAGAGGTGCAGGAGGAATTTATACGAAAGGTATGTTTATTTATTGCACTGACATAATAGCTGCTACCAGGTTAAACCACACGAGGGCCTCGTCCTGAGGTTTGAGATCTCATTCCTCATCCTCACAGTCTCTGATCCAAGGAGAATCATTTATGTTTTCTGATCCGACGTTGGATGTGTTTCGTGTCTCTGATCCATCGGGATCCTAAAATATTTTTTTTCGTACACAGATAAAAAAGTTCTTCGCTGCTTTATGAGAGTCAGCTCCCATCACCAGTGGGAAACCGATGGGACCAGTCAGACCTCAGTCAACTGTGTTAACTTACATATAGAGGGAAGGAAATATAAAGTAATATTAAAGGTTTTCTCTCTTTGAGAAGTTGCTGGACCACCTGTTTGTTTTTTTTCTGTATACAAATGTCTTATCTCTAAATAAACTGTTCGATTGTTAAATTTGTTCTGCTTTTATTGTTTGCATGTTAATGTTTTGAGATTCACTGGCTGGTTAAAGTTAGTTGTTACACTGTACTGTTTATTCCCCTTGAAATCCAAACTAAGTCTGTGCTGTCAGTTCTATGACCATTTGGAAACAGTTACACACTCCTGACTGACAATGAACAAGCAAACAAGTATTAAGTATTCCATTTGTTGTCTGTTAACAAATAAAAACCTTATCTAATTGTTGTGATGCATTTTCCATTTTATTATCAATTAAATGACATCTTTTATTCCTAGTTTCTGTATGTGTGACATTACCTTTGCCATTGCTACTAAACAGAAAGGTGCTAATGGCTGCACAGCATTTAAAGTGTTATTTGTTAATGGATTTTTACATTTCAAAAGGATTTGGCTCCCGAGTGAGTAGAAAAGTCCGGGCGGTTTGACAGGACAATGACCTTGGCTAAATGTTGTCTTTATCTCCCCCTCCGGTGTGCTCTGATGATCACAGGGGCTGTTCAGATGCCTGGAGTGATCAGGGGTCATCAAAGGGCAGCTGTCCACTATAAAGGGGCCTGTCTGGAGCTCCGTCTGCACATAGCATCATTTCAGCCCGAGACCAGCTGCAGGAAGGAAGGAGCTCTTTTGCCTCTCTCTCATTATTGTCGGAGTAGAGTTAGTTTGTTTCAGTTAAAATGGAAGCCAGCGTCCTGACAGTTTTCTGCACACTCCTCGTCTGTTCTTTTGGATCCACACAGGGCCACAGATATTTGAAAGACCTCAAGTCCAGTTCAGCATTCAGAAATCTCTCATTTAATCATCGCAGCAGATATCCTCTATACATGATGCAGCTGTACCGCTCCTTCAGGACCGTCGATTTCTCACCCTCATTAGCTGTCAACGCCGCTACAATGCAAGGTCACAACTCGTCAGTGCACAGTTCTGACTCCGTCCTCAGTCTGATGGCCAAAGGTGAGTAAGCTGTTTAATCTTCTCATTTTTTTCCCCCAATGATTATCTGCATCACTGGGCATACAGCACGTTACATAGTGTCAGTTTCTCCTCAGTGTACTCTATTCTCCAGCAGCTCTTTGGTTGGCGTGTTATCAGTGTTATCAGACCCTCCCTTTTTACAACCCAGCAAGTGTCAAAATGCTTATTCGACTTTAAAGGCTTTCTCTGTTTTATGTGAGAGGGTGTGTATATTAGCCCTCAGACGTCCTTGCACAGGGGGGTTCTTTCACTGCATGAGACTTTGCAGAACAACATCTTTGCAGCTTTTGACATACTCATTTGTTGTGTTCAAGGCCTTAATAGCAATGGGCAGCCAAGTTGCAGAGTGTGCTGCCTCAATGGAGGCCATGAGGACGGATGCGAGAAGCAACACATACCACAACCCCATGGGCATATCTCAGATCCTTCCAGCTCTCCAGCAGAAATCCTACCTGGCGGTTAAAAGCAAGGAGTGCCTCAATGAGGACGGTATGTGCGGCATTATGTCTACTCCCTGTGGTTACTGTGATTTCAAATTGTGTCCGTATTGTCACTGTTTGTGTCATGGTGGTCTTGCAGACACTCTGGTGCTGGAGCCCATAGATCCTGTGGTGGTTTTACCAAGCGAGTCCACGTTGACTGTGATGGTGGAGGTGGTGGCGTCCAGCGGGGCCGCTGTTGTTTACTCTGTGGATGCACCGAAGGGGAGCTCTCTGTTGGAGGCCCTTGAACTTCTCAAGGGCAAAAATGTTGGCTTCACGTGAGTTCATATAATGTACCTTTTTGAGTTGTTTTTTATGAGTATGATTGCCTACATTTAGTAATACTTGATGCTGTTTGGCAGGTTTGAGAAGGAGTCCAGCTTGTGGGGACCCTTCTTAAGCGCGGTGAACGGAGAGCAGGCCAGACAGAGCGACCGTAGATACTGGCACCTCTCCTCTGATGGCACTGCACTCAGTCAGGGTGAGGACACGGGGGCGCGCGCGCACACACACACACACACACACACATATATTATCTTGTGACTCACCTCTAGAGCATTCACTGCATTTATTTGATCCACTGCTTTAATTTCACTTTGGCATCACAATTACGTCTTTTTCTCCCCCAGGTGTTAATGATTTCAAGATTGAGGTTGCTCAGAAGATAACCATCAAAAACACAAGCTACTAGTCGGTCACTGCTGATGCAGCAGTGATTGATGAGGATGAAAAGCAGTTAAAACTATTTGTTGTTTAAACCAGTGATTGTGCTTTTTTAAACAAATAAAAAAAGTGTAATGCCTTTTTAAATGAAGTTTCTGTAAGTTTGTCTCTTGTTGCAGACAAAATATGAATTATAAGCAAGTGACAGTTGATTAAATTACTAGCACCTTTACTATGGATTATGAGTATTAATTCACAATTTTGAAGTTATTTGAGTGGTATATGAGCAAAATTAAATCTTGGAAATAAAACACTGATGTTTTTAAAGTCACATAGTTGGAGGGAAAAGTGAAGTTAAGATAAATTCTACACCTTGAAATTTCACAAATATACTTAAAGAGGTCCAATGGTTTTCTGCATGAGCAGAAATAACGCAGATGACCTCATCCATCTGGGGAAGTGTGAGGGCTAACAACAAGTATTTCCGGGTTACAAGGAGCATCGTATTACATGTATTTGCCATTGTATTTACACGCAGCACGGTTTACTTTATATTTGTACGTTAAACGTAAAACAAATAATGTTGTCGTTTGCCACAGTTATATGTTCAAACAGGCGGGATATGGTTTGTCAAAATGCTTTTATTGCGAAGGTACAGAACTCGACACCGGAAGTAATATCTGTTACGGTTTGTAGCATTTGAGCACACTTTTTTTATTAACTAAACTTAATAATTTTACTCCCCAGCATCTAATGTGTGAAACGATAGGGTGAGCGCTATGGGAACACTTCGCCGATGTATCGGCGTACATTGGAAGCACATTTAGCCGTAAATCTATTATCACAAACTAAAACTCGTTAGCTTACATCATGGAGAGGAGGAGCTAACGTTAGCTACCCTGCTATGAGCTTAACACAGCGCTAATGTAAAGTCTTAACCATTCACTTCCATTAGTGAGCACCATAGACTGTATACAAGTTGTTTTGTAGTTGTACGGATGTCTGTCACAATGTCTGCCATCTATCGATGCGTTCTGTTCAACCGTGTCTAAGTTTAACACTAGTTGGATACAGGTCTTGAGATTTGGGTACAATGTGCCTCCTCCTCAGTGGATGACACCGGACAGGATCCTCACGCAAGGTGGAAACGCAGCCATGACACGGACAACTAACCTAAGTAACGTTACGATGGCTAATGAGTCGAGGAAGCGCAGTGATTCTTGTTCGAGGTGCCTGTCAAGTTCAGCTGAGGATGCAGCAACTCGAGTGAAGAGGGTTTCTATCGAGGGCAACATCGGTAAAATCAGTGACGTTATATTAACCCTTATTTCAAAGTAAGATCTTCTTTTGTCCCACGCTGATGATATGCTGATATGTGGTCTCCAGCTGTGGGAAAGTCGACCTTTGCAAGACTCCTGCAGTCCGCTTGTCCAGACTGGGAGGTGGTGGCAGAACCTGTGAGCAAGTGGCAGAACATTGATAGTGGGACCGTGAAGGTGCGCGCACACTTACCGACCTTAACATCTTTTCCCAACAAAAACCAAAGGGAAGCCGAGCTGACCGTCTCCGCTCGTGTCTTTGACAGGGGACAGACGCGTCCCCCCAGACGACCGTCAGCAACCTGCTGCAGATGATGTACCAGGACCCTCAGCGCTGGTCGTACACATTTCAGACATTTTCCTGCATGAGCCGTCTGAGGACGCAGCTGCAGCCTCCTCCGGCTCGCCTGCTCAGCTCAGAGCGAACACCTGTCCAGGTGTATGAGCGCTCCATCTACAGCGACAGGTAGGACCGGCTAGTGAAAATGAAATCAGGTCAGCGGAAGTAGTTTTGAGAAGACCCGCGAGACCCCATATGAGTGAGAAGATGGCATTTATGTGCTACTTAACTTGTTCATCAAACGCATTCTCCTTGATTTGAACTTGACTCTGTGTCCTGTCAGATACATCTTTGCCCTGAACATGTTTGAGCTGGGTTGTATCAACTCTACCGAGTGGGCAGTCTACCAGGACTGGCACTCCCTCCTGGTGGAACAGTTTGGACACCAGGTGGAGCTTGAGGGCATTATCTACCTCAGAGCTCCACCAGAGGTATGAACACAAGAGATGTCATGTTGGCTTCAAAAAAATACAATTCATTTAGCAACTTGTGAGGAAAAAGATGTTTGCAGCACATCCTTCTTTTTATCTTGTGGTAGTTGCCAGTGTTGTATTATTGTTACTGGTGTTTGTATTTGTATTATCGGTCCTGTTCCACGATATCACAAAATTACCTGATTGACATTTTAATCAATTTCATCTTGAAAAAGACACAAACGCATTGTACCCTTCTGTTGTTTGTCAGAAATGTATGGAGCGTCTGGGGCGCCGGGGAAGGCCAGAAGAGAAAGGAGTGAAACTGGACTATCTGGATAAGCTGCATGTTCAACATGAGAGGTGGCTTGTGGAGAAGAGCACTGAGTGAGTGCTAATGAGGGCATGTCCCTCTGTTGTCCTCTGCAGACTTGCATGTTTTGAATATTTTCAGTGACCACTGAAATGTAAAGAAATCACGAGGTCTTTTAAAGTGTAAAGTCACTCTCTTCTCAGCAATTATGAAGATGAAAGGATTTAACGGGAGGACATTACACTTAAAATTGGTATTGTGATCAGTAAATGATCCAACCAGCACCAGTGGTGATACAGCCACTGTATTACAGGACGCTCTACGGATGCCTGTTTGTCCATTACCATTTTAAATGCCTTTCCTCGCAGCTGTTTGTTGCTCGGCTGTGAACAGATGACGGTCGGCAGTGTGTGGTCTGACGTGGTCGGTGTAACACAGCTCAACTCTCTCTTTTCAGATTACATTTTGAGAAGTTGAAACAGATACCTGTGTTGCAACTGGATGCCAGTGTGGAGTTTCAGAGTGACCCAGAGGTGCAGGAGGAATTTATACGAAAGGTATGTTTATTTATTGCACTGACATAATAGCTGCTACCAGGTTAAACCACACGAGGGCCTCGTCCTGAGGTTTGAGATCTCATTCCTCATCCTCACAGTCTCTGATCCAAGGAGAATCATTTATGTTTTCTGATCCGACGTTGGATGTGTTTCGTGTCTCTGATCCATCGGGATCCTAAAATATTTTTTTTCGTACACAGATAAAAAAGTTCTTCGCTGCTTTATGAGAGTCAGCTCCCATCACCAGTGGGAAACCGATGGGACCAGTCAGACCTCAGTCAACTGTGTTAACTTACATATA